TATACTCAGTTCTAAAGGAGCAAACAAACTGGTATATGCACATTGAAGTGGCTCAGCGCTTCAGCTTGTCTTTCACATACTGACCAAGATGCTTCTTGTAGGAGAAAATTATCACAAGGTTAACAGCGATGTTCTACTTAAATATATTAATAACAATTTCTTCAGGGTGTCTGCAGCAATATCAATTTCGAATTGAAGAACCCGCAATAGATTCTTTTTCGAAGCTATATTTCTCCATCCAGTTCCTGTCTTTCGCGTTAAATTTGTATCTGTTAGGTCTCTGTGAGAAATCGCTTTCTACTGGAGTTCTTTGAAGACTCAGTAGTTCTACGTTAAGTAGTCTAGTCGTTGGATCGCTTGCGAAATCCACTAACATCTACTAGCAGTAGAGCGACATGACACCCTCTTTGGTTTCAATGCATGGAGGCATTCATAACCACTAATTCGACTGGAAGGGTGTGGAAATCCTCCAAAAAGCAGGTTCAAAGCCGGAAAAGAATTTCCAGAAGCACGAAATCTCAACAAAGTCAATCACCAGACACAATCTACTTAAGAGGAAAACAACAATTCATCAACCAAACGTAGACTACTCAAGCAAATCAATAATGAGGCACAATTTCACACTAACAAAGATTCTACACCAGAGTGACTGAATAAAATGTTAAGTCAAACAGCCCAATATGTGATAGGAATCTTTTCCGCAACTTATAACTGGACAGCGATAAAAGTCAACAAAGACAATACCTAAGCATTGGTAACATTTGAATATATGCTTCACGTTGTTATGAAATTATAGCTTAAGACGTCTACGACAAAATATCAAAGGTCAAAGCACCCCATAACACTATCATTTTCATTCTAAGCTACAAATCTTTTCCATCATTCGAAGATTTCTCTTACTGCTTAGATGGAGCGAAAATCAATAATCAATAAACTCTCCGTTTCATGTAGATCTTGTGTAAGTAGATCGAAGAAGTGGATTATCATCTTTTATTTAGAGTTGAACATTAAGGAAATGTGATGTTGAGTTTGATTCTGTTTCAAGAGTGAAATTGATAGGAAGGTGGACAATAATGAACTTCCGAAGCAAGTTTGCAAGATTCATATTTTCATAGTCAATACCTTTTTTCCTACTACTATGTTGCTTTGAGGTGTGGCTTATTTCAACTGATGCAATATAGTGAGAGTTTTATCTACTCTTACAACACAACAACTACATAAAGATTTGTGAATGAAAAATTTTAGAAAAATAAAAACCAACCTTCCATTTTTCACTTCGTCATTTAGCCCCTCCCCCCTGGATAACTAATTTCAGTTTTAGTGAAAATGGAAACCTTTATCAGCCTCATTCAACAACTATATGATGACGCCACATGTCGAGTAATTCACAATGGGAAACTCAGTGATGCTTTGCAAATGAAGACAGGAGTGAAACAAGGTTGCCTACTATCCCCCATAATATTCCTGATTGTGGTCGACTGGATCATGCAACAAACAGTGGCAGCTGTGAGAAGAGAGGGATACGCTGGCTGGACTGCGGAAAACAACCTAGAAGACTTGGATTTCGCCGATGACTTGTGTCTGATATCACACAAACTTGAAGATCTACAGGCGAAAACTAACAAGTTGGCAGAAGAGGCAGGGCAGCAAAGACGGGACTTCAAGTGAATATAGAGAAGACAGAGGTGATGAAGATACCCAACCAACAACACCACCACCAACAACAACAACAACAACAACAAACTCCAATCACCATCAACGGGAGAAACTTAAAGGAAGTAACCTCCTTCACCTATCTACGAAGCACTGTTTCAACTACAGGTGGCCACACAGACGAGGATGTCAAAGCCAGCCAATATCGGAGAAGCAAGACAGGCATTCATTAACCCGAAACTAGTGTGGAGATCTTCTGCACTTCACTCAGCATGTGGAACAAGATTCGGATTTCCAACACCAATGTCAAGTTAGTGCTTCTAAATGGTTGAGAGACTTGGTGCGTTACGAAAAGCATTTCCAACAAACTTCAGAAATTCATCAACAACTGCCCACGCTGGCTCGTTACTGAAGCTCAGATAGCCAGAAATAATAAGTGACAAGGAACTCTGGTCGGGCAACGAACCAACCAACAAGCTATCACTCAACAAATATGCACTGGAAGGAGGTGGAGATGGATTGGGCATGCACTGATGAGACGATTAGGGGACATCACGCGCCACGCACTCGAGTGGAACCCAGATGGCAAACGTCGAGTTGGACATCCATCCCAGCTGTGGGTGACATGGAGGAGATCGTGTGAGGAAGAAGTGGGAGTTTGTGGGCTGTCGTTGAGCGAGGTTGAAAAGATTGCAGAGAACAGAGTGGAATGGAGATGTGCTACTGACGCCCTATGTTCTGTTAGAAAACGATGGGACTAATAATAATAATAAAATATTCTAAAGAGCTATAGAGGATCCTAAAGGTATAAAATTTCAAATAATAAGTTTAGGTAATCACTACATACACATAGCTCCAACTGACAAATGTCTTTCTCGAGGTGTCGATAGTACCCTGCTATATTGTTCGCCGAAAGCAAGAAATTTTCGGGAGATACTGAGAATTTAAAATCTATGACGCTCCAACACGTTTCATTATTACCAGACACATCTGACATGTGTAGCGTAGGAGAGAAGGAGATTGCTAGTAGCAGAAACACCCTCCGTGGTCACTCGCTTTTTCATTAGTAAGAAAGAGAAAATGATACAGAATAGTTTTGTATCCATGATGGGACTTCATAAGCAGGGGCTCAAACTGAATGAGTGAAGTGACATCGATGTTCAGAACGATTTCAATGGTTGAGTGACTAAGTAATGAACTGCAAAATACATTCAAATGCAACTACAATTATGCATTATACACATGCTGTTAGATTTAAAAGCGGCTCTGTTCCACATTCTCCTCATGATAACACTACTTGCAAAATATCACCGTAATTATCTAACTCACTGAAAACTCACAATCAAAATGTAATCTAAGACAGAGACACAGATGTAAAGCAAAATTCAACCACTGAATGAATAAAGTATGACGTAACAGAGAAGAAAGAAGATGGAAAGTGAGAAACATGCAATACCATAAACAAACTGCATGGCCCCATAAGGATCAGATAAAATGTATGCGCACATATGTTGCACAATAGCAACATTATTCTCCTTTGGTGGTTGTTCACAGCAGAATCCAGAAGGTGCATCTCGTCCTACTTTGGATTTAATAGCTAGTTATACCTGCACACCAGTTGGCGATAGTGTTCCTACTGAGGCTCGTAGTTAGCAAAAAAGCCTAATGAATGAACACAAATTTTTCACCCTTTTACTGAATAATATAGATAAGTACATACGATTGTCACCAGAACGTAACTCCGCTACTGAATCATCAGTCCCAAACAGGAAGAAACATGAGCCCTGGATTTCACCACTAGCCAACACCAAACAAATTACATCATAATGAAAACTGAGGTAATAATTCGAAGATTCGAAATGCTGAGAGTGACCGATTGATTCAGTTTAGCATATGGATTAACAGGAAAAAACTTAAACGATTGTTTTGTGAACTGAAAGTATACCATAGCGGAATCAATATAAACGTTTAACCATCCAATGATCATTATTCGCCTGTCCCTATATAGCCTAAGCATATGAAGTGCGAACCAAACTAGGAAAAAGCAATAATTCTTGCGGGTTGCAAAACGAAGTGTTGCATAGATTGTTCACTATCGTATGTGGAAGTCGATAACTCAGTGTTACATTAAGGGAGTTGAACAATATTTTATCCCCATTGATTCATGAGATTTAGTACTACAACAGATGCAGCATACCAGTTTAAAATAAAAATCTAATGAGTATACTGACACTCTCAATTTGTGCATTAATCTCCGTTACTGTAAAATGAAATATCAAGTGTTATCATTTATCTGATATTTGATTGGTAATTTATAGTGATAATTGTTGGGCATAAACGACTTTAGTATGACTGTAGTTTTAATTTTTTTTAAAAAGTACGACTGTGACAGTGACTCTAACATTTTCGTTACAAGCGAACTACAAGTAAGCAGCCACCAATAACCAATAGTTCAAAAACAATCTCATAGAAAATGAAGGGTAGGAGGGGTGTGTTTTAATGTGCACCGACTGTATTTTGCTACTTTTGTTGTTCCATACCTGACACAACAGGCTAATGAAAAACAACCAATTCATATTTTGGCAATTAAAGATAGCATACATGGAGGTTAAACCTTTTAAATAAATTATTTTTCATTAGTACTCAACCATCATGACTTTTTTTTTCAGCCATTTTTTCATTAGAAGCTAAACTAAAATATCCTAGTGATAAGTTAATCACTTATTTATGCGTAAATTTGTATTATCTGAGCACTGATAGTACAACAGTAAAGACCATGTGGTCACTCCATTAAATCGATAGATAAACTAACGAGACAAAGCTAGTTGGCACGTATTCAGTTGATATGTCAAAAAAGAATGTTCAAAAATATAAACATATATACACAAACTACAGCTTTCACAACTTTGGACAACTTGGTATACAAACACTATATGTACATTCTATCATGGAGACTATGACCTTTAACCAAAAGAGCACAATAGAATGAGTCATACATTGTTTAATCCACATAAATGTCATGACAATACTAACAAATATATTTATCCTAAAAGGTGACTATGATAACCTTCACTGTTTAATAGCAAGGCAATGTGTGTCGAAAAGGTTGATAAACAGATGAACGTATACAGATAAAAAATAACTTGGAATAGAAAACAGGTGTTCATATAATGGCATAACTGTCAGTGGAATTCCAACAATTAAGCGATACGACAGTGTTGAACAGGCAAGTAACACAATAATTGGGAATTAAGCACACATTTTACATTATATTACTGTATTCATTGATCAAGTTAGGGACATAAATGTTCGTTTACTCTAGAAATATTAAAGAAGCAAACAGAAACTTACAATTCTATTCTTGCTTCGGAAGCCCATGTAACAAGTGAAAATTGTCGACCACCATTATTTTCTTTAAGTCGTTGTTCTAGTATTACCCATAGCGGATCAACTCGTCGTTCAGACGAATCTATTAGCACAGACTGGTCTCCTGAATCACACAGTGTAACATCATCTATGGGAGCGCTACGATAACCACTGTAACTCATATGACTGCTGCCAAGTGAGGAAATTGAATAGATTGCAGAATCAGGTTCAACACTTACTGACTGAGATATATTATTCACTTGGCTTCCACCTTGCAGTGAAGTGTAAAAACGATCTGGTGTCAGAACCGACTTAAGAAGGTATTCGGCATCTGTAAACTTTTGACGTTTCATTAAAGCAGAAGCCTGTACATACGAAAAAGGTGGAACCTCTTTTAGCCAAAAGTTACGTAAATGAACAGAAATAATGAACGTGATACAAAACCCAAAAAAGCAATTTGTGAAAACTGGGAGAGATAAAGAAAAATATTAAACTATTTACTTAGTATAAGGGGAATTTTTAAACAATTTAGAAGTCGTTGTCATCAAAATTTATCTAGGTATATTAAACATTTCAACGCAGGTGATGACGACAGCTTTTTATAAACAGCGTAAGTACTAGTGATCAGCGGCTACTTTAAAATATTGACGCAAGTACAGAATCCAGTTTTAACTTGCCTTCACATCATACGCTTGCAAAATAACCGATGAGGATAAATGACAATCCAGTGTTCTAAAACCATGGCCTTAGTTGAGAAGCACGTGTGTAGAAGCATCTACATTGAGATACAACTAAAAAGTCTGTTGTTGAGTAAACGGAAGCAAAAACAGATTTTCGATCAATTCACCGTCCAATTACATAACCATATCTGTGTTTTTCAAAAGTAAATCAGACGAAAGAATACAATGTTATTTTAATGATAATGCTCAAAAACAACAGATAATCTGATAGTTTCTTCAACTGTTCTCCGTACATCGATCTGAGGGTGGAATTCGATATTAAATATGTTCATTTAATACAGTAAACTATTCAATATACATCTCACAACGATAGTCTTGCCTAATAAGATAATCAATAATTTGCCACGAACCTAACTGTGTGGCTTCCATGATGTGAAACACTAAAACAATTTGTAGTCTTGATATCTCAAAGTAATTTGAGAATAAGTAATCCACAAGTTTGCAGACTTTTCACACAATTCACGCAAAAGTAGGCTTTCTGGAATGTTGCTTCTAACATATGGTGAGAAAGTTATCTTGCGGTAGACTACTTCTCATCAAAAATTACATGAAACTGAAAGAATGTCAGAACAAAATTAATTCTATTGATCACTTTCTTTATATACCGTCACGGGTTAAAATACATTGAATAACGAAAGGAAAATACGTAATAAAAGTAAGGATTTGGAGTGGAAAAACAAACAAATAAAATAATAAACCTCGCCTGATAAACTAGTTCACTAGTTACTAACCGGTCCTAAGCTCGGGTAAACAGGGGAGGTTGGCTGTAGGGCTAGCAACTCTACCCCGTAAAACCAATCCAACCGCTAAAGAAACTTCACAGCACAAACAAAATATAAGAACTAAAAACAAAATTACTCCTCGCTGGAATCGGAGAAACAAAATGACGCCGGTGGGTGAAAGCCCTCCCGAAGCCAGTTGGCCGATGTGTCTTCTCTCCCTCGATGAAAGCGAAAGTAAACGTGGGGACATGGAATGTCCACACCATGTTCGAACCCAGCAAGGCTGCCCAGATTGCAAAAGAGATGAGAAGGAATGGCACAACACAGAAGTGCTTGGAATCTGCGAAAGCAGATGGAATGCAAGTGGACTCTCCAAACTGTCAACTGGAGAGTCAATAATCTACTCCGATATTGTCACCCAGATGACAACCAAGAGCACACTGCGTTTCGGAGTGGCCATCATGATGTCCCCAAGAGCATCGAAGGCTCTCATGCAGTGAGAACCAATCTCCTCCAGCATCAGGATCATGACAGCAAGATTCAACTCAGAAGAGGGAAGGAAAGTCACAATCATACAATGCTACACTACGCACCTACAAATAATGCAGAGCAAAAGAAGGAGGAGAAATTCTACAGACAACTGCATTCAGTACTGGACAAGACCTCACCTCAGTTGGCGACATTAAAATTCCAATAGGTAGGGTGATATGAATGCCAGGTAAACTGGGAGCGGACAACACAGGAAGAGAACTAACTGATCATGGGTCGAGAAGCGCTCGGTGAGGTGATGAACGAGAATGGAGAATTGTTTGCAGAATTCTGTGCATTCAACGATTTGGTGATTGGAGTCAGGCAGTGTGTTCAAGCACAAGGATATCCACAAAGCGAGCCACATGGATTTCACCAGATACAAGGACACACTAAAAATCAGATCAACTTCATCTCAATCTCAAGAAAGTGGAGACGCAGTCTACTTGACACAAGATTAGGTCAAGAAGAGAAGCAGATGTAGGTTCACAACACTCACTATCTAGTGCAAGGAACCTTCCAAATCAAGTTGAAAGCCTTCAATTCAAGGGAGCTGGTGATAGACCACAGTTCAAGTACAACACTCGGAAACTGAAGGACGAAACTACAAAGGAAATCTTCACGGCAGCCAGTCATCACGACAAAATGGGAGATATCGAGCAACATCCCTGAAGAAATACGTGTGCAAGAACACTGGAAGTCTTTGAAAGCTATGTGGAAAGAAACCTGCACAGCCGTATTAGGAAGGAAGAAGAAAGAAGATAAGGAATGGATCTCAATGGATACATGGGAGTTGACAGAGCAGGGAGAGGAGGATGATGAAACAGAAGATAAACTAGTGCAAAGATGAACGACGAGAAGAGGAAGTGAGTACAATGTATGAAACACTGGACAAAGAAGTGAAGAAGAGTGCGCGCAAAGACAAAACGAAACACTGGCAAGTGAAGCAGAACAGGCTGCAGGTAGGAGAGACAGAGACCTGACAACATTGTATCAAATAACCAGGTTACCATCTGAGAGGGAAGAGATCAATACAACACAGACGAAACCAATAAAAGATGATGACTGAAATTTAATTACGAAAGAAGAGAAACAAAGGAAACAATGGGCTGACCACTTCAAGAAGCTCTTGAATCGACCACAACCACCACCACCACCACCTGCACTTCGTCCTCAAATACCACCTACAGCCCAGCCACAGAACTACAAGTCAACATAAATCCTCCAACAAAAGTCGAAGTCCTGAACGCCATAAAGCTACTGAAATGCGGGAAAACAGCAGGACCACATGGAATCCCGCCACAAACACTGAAAACAGACGCAGAGACAACAGCGGACATGTTCACACCACACCACTATTGCAGAAGGTGTGGAAGGAAGAGAAGGTACCTCGCCATTGATTGGAAGAAGGGTCACCTTGTCAAACTCCCGAAGAAGGGAGACCTCAGTGTTTGCAAGAACTGGCACGGAATCACTCTCCTATCCACCCACAGCAAGCAAAATATTAAGCTGCATCATCCTGGAGAGGCTAAAGGATGCGCTAGATTCAAAACTACGACCGGAACTGGCTGGCTGGCTGGATTCAGGAAGTACAAATCATGTGCAGACCAAATTGCAACGCTACGCTACGCTTCGCATCATCATAGAACAGAGTGTGGAATGGCAGTCAACTGGATCTCTACCTCAACTTTATCGACTTTGAGAAGGCCTTTGACAGCGTCGACCGGCAGGCAGTTTGGAAACTGCTTCAATACTACGGAATACAGCTAACCTTTATCAGCCTCATTCAACAACTATATGATGACGCCACATGTCAAGTAATTCACAATGGGAAACTCAGTGATGCTTTGCAAATGAAGACAGGAGTGAAACAAGGTTGCCTACTATCCCCCATAATATTCCTGATTGTGGTCGACTGGATCATGCAACAAACAGTGGCAGCTGTGAGAAGAGAGGGATACGCTGGCTGGACTGCGGAAAACAACCTAGAAGACTTGGATTTCGCCGATGACTTGTGTCTGATATCACACAAACTTGAAGATCTACAGGCGAAAACTAACAAGTTGGCAGAAGAGGCAGGGCAGCAAAGACGGGACTTCAAGTGAATATAGAGAAGACAGAGGTGATGAAGATACCCAACCAACAACACCACCACCAACAACAACAACAACAAACTCCAATCACCATCAACGGGAGAAACTTAAAGGAAGTAACCTCCTTCACCTATCTACGAAGCACTGTTTCAACTACAGGTGGCCACACAGACGAGGATGTCAAAGCCAGCCAATATCGGAGAAGCAAGACAGGCATTCATTAACCCGAAACTAGTGTGGAGATCTTCTGCACTTCACTCAGCATGTGGAACAAGATTCGGATTTCCAACACCAATGTCAAGTTAGTGCTTCTAAATGGTTGAGAGACTTGGTGCGTTACGAAAAGCATTTCCAACAAACTTCAGAAATTCATCAACAACTGCCCACGCTGGCTCGTTACTGAAGCTCAGATAGCCAGAAATAATAAGTGACAAGGAACTCTGGTCGGGCAACGAACCAACCAACAAGCTATCACTCAACAAATATGCACTGGAAGGAGGTGGAGATGGATTGGGCATGCACTGATGAGACGATTAGGGGACATCACGCGCCACGCACTCGAGTGGAACCCAGATGGCAAACGTCGAGTTGGACATCCATCCCAGCTGTGGGTGACATGGAGGAGATCGTGTGAGGAAGAAGTGGGAGTTTGTGGGCTGTCGTTGAGCGAGGTTGAAAAGATTGCAGAGAACAGAGTGGAATGGAGATGTGCTACTGAAGCCCTATGTTCCATTAGGAACCTAAGGGACAAATAATAAATTAATAATAATACATAGTAGAGGATTTATCCAGAATAGTCAGAGTGGATTCGTCGAACCTGTTAGAGGATTTCGGAAGAGTTCCAAAAAGAAACAAAGTAACCTACATTCACGAGGTGTTTTGTTATTCTCTTGAAGATGTATTTCAGCACCCCGTTTGGTAACCAGAGTGGAGGGAGTGTTCTCGGATATATTTTACTAACAAGTGCAAGGTATAATCAGTATACTCAGTTCTAAAGGAGCAAACAAACTGGTATATGCACATTGAAGTGGCTCAGCGCTTCAGCTTGTCTTTCACATACTGACCAAGATGCTTCTTGTAGGAGAAAATTATCACAAGGTTAACAGCGATGTTCTACTTAAATATATTAATAACAATTTCTTCAGGGTGTCTGCGGCAATATCAATTTCGAATTGAAGAACCCGCAATAGATTCTTTTTCGAAGCTATATTTCTCCATCCAGTTCCTGTCTTTCGCGTTAAATTTGTATCTGTTAGGTCTCTGTGAGAAATCGCTTTCTACTGGAGTTCTTTGAAGACTCAGTAGTTCTACGTTAAGTAGTCTAGTCGTTGGATCGCTTGCGAAATCCACTAACATCTACTAGCAGTAGAGCGACATGACACCCTCTTTGGTTTCAATGCATGGAGGCATTCATAACCACTAATTCGACTGGAAGGGTGTGGAAATCCTCCAAAAAGCAGGTTCAAAGCCGGAAAAGAATTTCCAGAAGCACGACATCTCAACAAAGTCAATCACCAGACACAATCTACTTAAGAGGAAAACAACAATTCATCAACCAAACGTAGACTACTCAAGCAAATCAATAATGAGGCACAATTTCACACTAACAAAGATTCTACACCAGAGTGACTGAATAAAATGTTAAGTCAAACAGCCCAATATGTGATAGGAATCTTTTCCGCAACTTATAACTGGACAGCGATAAAAGTCAACAAAGACAATACCTAAGCATTGGTAACATTTGAATATATGCTTCACGTTGTTATGAAATTATAGCTTAAGACGTCACTAAGTCTGATGATGAGACGTCTACGACAAAATATCAAAGGTCAAAGCACCCCATAACACTATCATTTTCATTCTAAGCTACAAATCTTTTCCATCATTCGAAGATTTCTCTTACTGCTTAGAGGGAGCGAAAATCAATAATCAATAAACTCTCCGTTTCATGTAGATCTTGTGTAAGTAGATCGAAGAAGTGGATTATCATCTTTTATTTAGAGTTGAACATTAAGGAAATGTGATGTTGAGTTTGATTCTGTTTCAAGAGTGAAATTGATAGGAAGGTGGACAATAATGAACTTCCGAAGCAAGTTTGCAAGATTCATATTTTCATAGTCAATACCTTTTTTCCTACTACTATGTTGCTTTGAGGTGTGGCTTATTTCAACTGATGCAATATAGTGAGAGTTTTATCTACTCTTACAACACAACAACTACATAAAGATTTGTGAATGAAAAATTTTAGAAAAATAAAAACCAGCCTTCCATTTTTCACTTCGTCATTTAGCCCCTCCCCCCTGGATAACTAATTTCAGTTTTAGTGAAAATGAGTACAGAATATGTGACCAACACCATTCAACGGTCAAATCATATCACGCATAAGCTCATAGTATCAATACCATCAATTGAATAAGTGAAACGGTTCTGAACTAATGATATTTGGAATTAACTGAGTAATATTTATAAACCTCTCGTTCTAATTGGAAACTTTATGCAACAGATAAAGTTTCAGTAGGAAGCACAGAAAGTGGATTCTGGATAGAGGTTGAGGAGGCAGAAAACCTCTCGTTTATCTTGTGAAGTAAATTCTCAACACATGAAGTCAATTTTAATTTTTTAACATATACAGTCACAATACGGGTACCAAATTCTCCAACTGTTCATTCAACCTGGAAGTATGCAAAATAGGAATTGATCAGGCATAAAAAATCACCAATATAACATTAGAACTCCCTTCTTAAGCAGTCATTACACAGCAAGATAAATATAGAATAGAGTTTGAATCAGCAATGTAAAATGTAAAACTCAAAGTAATCAGCGACATACCAAATTAGTTTTAGCTTTTCGTACAATAGGTGATGATGGCTTGTGGTGTTTCGCATATATGTCTAAAGTCCGTCGAAACAAAGATTCAACCTATTGGATGAGCAATAAAGAAAAATATAGATGATAATTACCAAGTACAAGAAAAAAACGAAATAACAATCAGCATGTAATATATACTTAGCACATGCAGTTGATCTCTAACACCGGGACCTTTTAGTTATCATGGAAGAGCACTAGAGTCAAGAAAAGGAATTAATGTTAATACCATATTTACTGTGAAGAATTTCTGACAGCTATATACACACCCAACAACACATCTTATGAGCTGTCGGGCTGACTCACAAGACACCCACACATTAATGCAAAGTTTCTAAACATTTAGCATCACTTTTATATTTAATATTCAAAATTTGTTATTAGTGGATAGTTAAGTCCGTTTGCTTTCTTTCCCAAATGTCTCAATTAACACATATGATATTGCCGTTATTAAAGTACGGTACTGCACATACCTACCTTTAAGTTATCAAACTATGTCTAACCATAGGTGACACGCTTGCTTCTACTACTACTATTATCACCAATATTACCAACATTAGAACGATTTATTGACGAAGATTTGTGCATGCAGAAAAGACCAAAACATGATAAAACAAGAAGTAATAAAAACTTTCGCATAAAGATCTACACAAAAACATATGTGATTGCACAGACTAAGTATATCGACTAAAAGTAAAGGTAAAGCAGATTTCTATGGGATAGCCAAAGGGCCATTAGGAAACTGTTAGATTCATATGAAAGGCAAGACGTGGTTTCAGCGAAGAAAAATACTTCTCTTTGACGAAGTCATTGACTAAGTTGTACATTCGTGAATATATGTTACAGTGAGTAGAATGTTCCAGAATTGTTTCCGGTCAGGGGCAAAATATATTGAATGACGAAAAGTTAATTAATACACATTTGTGTTTAGAGTGGGAAAATAGACAGGGGATTATGAAATTAAATGTAATTACGTAATACAGGATGAATGCATGACAAAGTAGGAAACTGAACGAAGGGTTATGGAGATAAAATTGCGATTATGTAATACCGGGTAAACCTATGACAGAGTATGAGAATAAACAGGGGATCATGAAAATAAGACTGTAATTACGTAATGCAGGTTCCATTTGATACAAAATGCACCTGTGGCAGACAGAGCTTTATGATGGCCATGTTAAAAATTTCTGAAATCAGCTTGTCAGTACTGACGTTCATTGTACCTCAACGTGCCGCTGAATAACATTAAAATCATTTACAAAGGTTCCGTTTCATCTGAAAATCCTCAGCAAAGCGTATATTAATGTCATTATTCATGACGAAGAAGCTGTCATCGCGCATTATGTACTGGACTTAAGTGTCAACAATCTTATTGTAATACTCTTTAGGAGTATGGTTACTCCCTATGTGAACACTGTATCTCGGGTGCCATATGAAAATACAACAAAAAGTATGAAAGTAATAAATACAGCATCTTAACTTGAGAGAGATTTATGTACTACGCAGCACTTATCCTGTGGGCTTATGATAATACTCAGTTGTCTGGGCTGAAGTGGGTGAAGACAAAGAACTACAAGAAAAAGTAACTAGTTTTTTGTTGACAAACTTGTTTGAGCGGTTAGATTTGAAAAGCCTTGGCTGGCGGTAGAATTCGAATGATCAACTAGTCTATGCGTGACAAAATAGTTTGCATGTGTGTACGTTGTAATGCTAGCTATAGTAGAAATGAAATACTACCCGTCTACGACACAATGTCCATTATTGATGAATTTATCTTGGATGAAAGGAGAAAGGTTGCACACTGATCAAGTAATACTTGGTATATACAGTAGAAGTGTTAAAAATTACATGTGAGAATACAGAAAAAACCAAATGCTTTTACGTCTGCCGATATGAAATGTCCTTCATACCTTAGCTTTCGAAAACGCTGGCCAAATCAATTGCATCTTAGGTGTCATCAGAAGAAAATTCGTGAAGGTTAGGTTATGCAAGTATTCAAAACTTTGAAGATGATAACGAATGTACATATCTGCGCCACTAAGACAGGTTTTCAACCATATTCCCAACAGTTTTCAATCACTGATTCCTATCATCTAGAAGACACCTTTACGTGACTGAGACCGACAATCGAATACTTTGTGTACGGGTATCAAGTCACCGTCTGATAACTTTTAGTCTTCCTCCAACTCAATCCTACTTAGTCTAACACTGCACACTGAGGTAAATGTTACTTCGACAAGCTCAAAGTACGTATGTTTCAACAGATCTATTTCTAACAATTCACATATTTTCATCTATCTATACCTAAGCAGTGAAACTTGTCAGTTCTCGTGTGTTTCACTGTGAATTTGATATTGGAATGAGTTGCACCGAATACTTTAAGATTTTTCTACATTAACATACTAGTCACATACAATTTAAGTATCATCAAAACACTTTGCCCATTATGTTTTCTTGCTAACAACATGTGGCAACTTCTTTCTGTTTAAAATGAAGACAAAAATATCAACTGTTTATACCCACATAATCTCTCCTACGTTTCTACTTGTTGTTAGACTGGAAGTGAAATTTACCTATCACCAATAGAAATTTGTTTATCGTGTATCAAATAATATACTTTCTTTTTCAATATTCCAAAACGATCACTTCATTTCATTATAAAACTTCTTCTCAATAATATTTTGAAAGATCTCAATCTTTGTTTCGCCTATCAAAAACCCTTACTTTTCAATCCTTAATGGACACCTATTTCTGAATACTGAACTATGTTAGTATTCACTAATTTTAAGACAACTAAACGTTTTTATAGATAATATGCAACCAAATGGAATGAATTCGTTGCAAATGTAGTCAAATTTATTATCTTTTTTACACATCAATTCCCGAATTCGCACTGAGTTGATAATCATTCAGTGGGGAAAAAACATAACAATAATAAAGTGAAGTACATCACTTCTAACTTCAATTGTCCAAAATTGAAGTTGATAATGTTGAAATTCACTTATCATAAGTCAAGATTCTGAATGGATCAACTTCGGAGTGATTCAGTTGATGAATAATAATAACTGGCCATTACCCTTCTGGGTTCCACTCAAGGGCCTGGCGCATGATGTCCACAGTCGGCCTTTTCAGTGTATGCCAAATCCATCTCCACTTCCTTCCAGTGCATATTTGTTGAGTGATAGCTCCTTGCCCCCCATTTAAACCATAAAGTCTGTTTCTTGGCTATAAATATCATAACGCAGTCATTTTAAGACATCACTATCACAGTTGTCTTCTTTACCTGTTGCGGGTGATGGCCAATCGGCAAGGAACTTCACCCCTGGAGGAAATAGAGCTATCAAAATGCATCAGCTCATCAGTGAGTAGTTTGTCTTGCTAAGGTACAGGCAGAAGCTGTAAATCATCTACCAAAACTAACCACCGGCTCAGACTCCGCAACTGCAACAGCAGTTTGAGCCAGAAGGCCTCTCACTGGTTGATTATCACTGGGTCGGAAGATGGTAAAGATTAACTCGTTTTCCGTACGATCCACAAAGAGCGTTATTATTATATTCTTATTTGTCCATTGGGTTCCTAATGCAACACAGGGCTTCAGTAGCACATCTCCATTCCACTCTGTCCTCTGCAATCTTTTCAACCTCGCTCAACGACAGCCCACAAACTCCCACTTCTTCCTCACACGATCTCCTCCATGTCACCCACAGCTGGGATGTCCAACTCGACGTTTGCCATCTGGGTTCCACTCGAGTGCGTGGCGCGTGATGTCCCCTAATCGTCTCATCAGTGCATGCCCAATCCATCTCCACCTCCTTCCAGTGCATATTTGTTGAGTGATAGCTTGTTGGTTGGTTCGTTGCCCGACCAGAGTTCCTTGTCACTTATTAGTTCTGGCTATCTGAGCTTCAGTAACGAGCCAGCGTGGGCAGTTGTTGATGAATTTCTGAAGTTTGTTGGAAATGCTTTTCGTAACGCACCAAGTCTCTCAACCATTTAGAAGCACTAACTTGACATTGGTGTTGGAAATCCGAATCTTGTTCCACATGCTGAGTGAAGTGCAGAAGATCTCCACACTAGTTTCGGGTTAATGAATGCCTGTCTTGCTTCTCCGATATTGGCTGGCTTTGACATCCTCGTCTGTGTGGCCACCTGTAGTTGAAACAGTGCTTCGTAGATAGGTGAAGGAGGTTACTTCCTTTAAGTTTCTCCCGTTGATGGTGATTGGAGTTTGTTGTTGTTGTTGTTGGTGGTGGTGGTGGTGTTGTTGGTTGGGTATCTTCATCACCTCTGTCTTCTCTATATTCACTTGAAGTCCCGTCTTTGCTGCCCTGCCTCTTCTGCCAACTTGTTAGTTTTCGCCTGTAGATCTTCAAGTTTGTGTGATATCAGACACAAGTCATCGGCGAAATCCAAGTCTTCTAGGTTGTTTTCCGCAGTCCAGCCAGCGTATCCCTCTCTTCTCACAGCTGCCACTGTTTGTTGCATGATCCAGTCGACCACAATCAAGAATATCGTGGGGGATAGAAGACGGTCTTGTCTTACTCCTGTCTTCACTTCAAAAGCATCACTGAGCTTTCCATTGTGAATTACTTGGCATGTGGCATCTTCATATAGTTGTTGAATGAGGCTGATAAAGGTTAGCTGTATTCCGTAGTATTGAAGCAGCTTCGAAATTACCTCTCGGTCGACGCTGTCAAAAGCCTTCTCAAAGTCGATAAAGTTGAGGTAGAGATCCAGTTGACTGCCATTCCACACTCTGTTCTATGATGATGCGAAGCGTAGCGTAGCGTTGCAATTTGGTCTGCACATGATTTGTACTTCCTGAATCCAGCCAGCCAGCCAGTTCCGGTCGTAGTTTTGAATCTAGCGCATCCTTTAGTCTCTCCAGGATGATGCAGCTTAATATTTTGCTTGCTGTGGGTGGACAGGAGAGTGATTCCGTGCCAGTTCTTGCAAACACTGAGGTCTCCCTTCTTCGGGAGTTTGACAAGGTGACCCTTCTTCCAATCAATGGCGAGGTACCTTCTCTTCCTTCCACACCTTCTGCAATAGTG